CGCTGACATCACCCGCCGTGACATCAGCAACTGGGACGTCGCTGCCCAGAACTGGGTCATCTCCGAGTACCCCAAGACGGTGTACGTTGGTGCTAGCTCGCGTAAGTTGTTGCTTACTGCGGAGATGGACACCAGCGACTACACTTCGTAGAGGAGTCGTTGAGATCTGTATTGTTTGGATAAAAACCATCAACAGTAATGTTCAATCCTTAATTGTGAGCTAGTCATAGCTAGTTTTATGAAGAAACGAATCTTTGTGACTATTGCCTGATGGTGTGTGCACGTGTCTTGCCTGTCAAACTTGGTGAAACCGCTACATGGACGCTTGATCGATCCCGACAGACGGCTATGGTGCCCTATCGCGATGGATTGAGGGGTAATGCGTATCCCGGGCCGGCTGCGCTTCGGCGTGGAGCCTCGATGACGGGCGACAGTCAAGGAATGCGTTTACGAGGTGACTAATGTAGCTAAAGCGATCAAAATTAGACGCGTCACGAGACGAACGATGCAAAGTTGCGATCGTTATGCAGGATGTCGACACGGTATTTTGCGACGTTCTTCGCTCATCGTGTAGCAGTACACACAGCAAGCGAGCGTGAGTAAGCGTCCGAAGCGGCAACGATTGGCGTCGTGTTGGTGGGCCGTTGGTGCAGCCAGCAGCGATCCTGTTGGCGGCATGCGAACGGTTTTCAAGCCCGATTGCATAGCGTCATTGTTTGCTTGGCTGGGCCCGACGCGCACAGTCGGCACCTGAGCGTTTGGGGCCTCTGGGTGCGCTGGAGAAGCAATGCTCAGGGCGCAATGACAGGAGGCGGGCATCATATTGCAGGCGTCCCGTTTGACAGCGGCGCAGCGTGCATGTTTGGAAGTCTGGGTCTGGGTCGCTCACGGCTGGGGGCGCGCTGCCAGCTACCGCGTTATTTTGATCACGAGTGCGCACGGATAGCATCTTGAGCCAGGACACCAAGGCGACGTAATTTGTCCCCTTCCGTGCTCCTGCGGCTCTGCTCCATTATCTCTCTATCGATAGCCACCGACTATCTGACTATCCCACGCGTCGCGCATTGTCACCGTTGTCTCGCTGCGTCCTGAGGTCATCGCCACGCCTGCGCTAGCCACCAAGTCGCGTCGTGCTGGAATAACAAACACGCCGATACGTCGACCCTTCCGCCCACGACCGCGCGCTCTTCCACCCTCCTCGTCACCACCGCCCTGCGACGCCTGCCCCCGGCCCGCCGCCGCTCCCTGGACGACGCCTTCCAGTCGCGCGCAGTGCATTGGGAATCCAACACCGACGTTTCGCGGTAAGCAGCTCCCGTTCCGAGTGTGTCGAGTCGCTTGGTGGGGCGCCTGGCTGGCTGCTCTTCGCACGTCCGTGGCTGGCTCGTCCCTCTCCCATGGTCCGCCGTCACCACCCAAAACAAATAATACACGGATGCCCACACTCGCACAACTCTCGCTGATACATTCTTCTCCTCCACAGATTCGCTCGCTAGCCCCCCGCATGCACCATGTCGACTCGTAGAAGTCTTCGTTCGCGCAGAGACGCCCAGCAGCAGTCTGAACCCGACACGCCAGATGCCACGCCCTCGCGCAAGCGCAGGCGGGTGAGCAGCCCCAACACCACCAGTGTTGCGGCGAACTTGTACTCACTCGCACAGTTGAATGGCGCCGCCCAAGAGCCCGCTGCTACGGCCGCCCCCGACCCGCCCCGTACCCGCATCACAGAGTCGGTCGCCAGCAACGACTCCAACACGACACTGCCCAACGGCGGAGACGCAGAAAACCCCATGGACCCCATAGAGCGCCAGAACATCGTCATAGCCGCCCTCCGCGTGCCCGGTTATGTGCCCCACGCTGCCATCGACTATGCCAACGACCTGCAGTCGCAGCGCAACAAGGGCAAGAACATCCCGGCCTTTGCCAAGATTGCTGCCCGCGACTGGTGCTTCTTCGTTCAGGACACGCAAGTTAGAATCGGCCGTGTAGACTCGAACACACGCTCCAACCTACAGAGCTCTCAGCCCGACATCTCTGGGCTGCCTCCAAGTGAATCCAACCGCCAGGACTGGGGCGTGCACATTGACCTCGGACCTGAGCGCCAGATATCCCGCGTCCACGCCGAGATCAACTTTGAGGTTGACGACCAGCAGTGGTACATCACTGTAAACAGCCGCAACGGTCTCAAGCTAGACGACCGCCATCTCACCAGAGGAGACAAGGCACCCCTACACTCGGGTATCTGTATCAGCATCATGAGCACTCAGATGCTGTTCCTTCTCGCCAACCAAGAGGACCACTTTCACCCTATGTTGTGGCGTCAGGTTAAGAATGAGGACGCTGCCGAGTCTGACAATGACGGCAACCCGCCGCCAAAACCCCATCAGCACGCGCATCCCAGCGGACCGACGCCCAAGCGCGACCAGTACGATCCGTTCCCACCGTCTTCGCACCCTCGCAACAAACACCAATCGTCACAAGCATACTACAACCAGATGACATCCACCCCGGGATACCCACAACCCGGAACCCCCATGACCTTCCGCGGCGAAAAGGACCCCCGCAGCAAAGGCTCACCTGCTACCTTCTCTCGAGCAGTTCTACTAGAAAATGGCGACGATATTGACTACAGCTTAGACTCAACTAAAGAAATCAAGCCGCCTCACAGCTACGCCCAGCTCATCGGCCAAGCGATCCTCAGTAGCGAGGAAGAGATGCTCACGCTTGCCAACATCTACGACTACATCAAGTCCCGGTATGCCTTCTTCCGCCACACAAACAGTGGCTGGCAGAACAGCATTCGACACAATCTGTCTCTCAACAAGTCATTTGAAAAGGTTGCACGCCGCACCGACGAGCCTGGCAAGGGTATGAAGTGGAAGATTGCAGAGTCAGAGAAGGAAGAGTTCATCAAGAAGCAACTGCTTAACCCTCGCAAGGGCGGTGTGGCAATCGGATACCGCATAGACGGCTCAGGGCCTAGTTCGCCCGCGCTGGGCAATCCATCTCAAGCCACCGAGCGCCTTGTAGGTGCCCTGGAGCGCGACAACCGCCAAAGCCAATACCCTCCTCGCGTCAAGTCGCCTCCACGATCCGCTACGCCCCCGCTTTCGTCGGTCCCGATGGCCACCGAATCCTACACTCCAGACCGCGGCCCACGCCCATTTGGAGGTTTCAAGCAATCGCCGACTATACGCGACCAGGATCGGTTCGTCACTCCGGCGAAGCGCCTTGTTTATGGAGCCAATGACGGCCAGGAACCTACTCACATCAAGCAGGACGAATCTCGACTGGAATCATCACCCGGTGTGGACCCCGTTAAGCAGAGTGTCCCTGGTATGAAGACAGACGTCGGTAACTCACCACCGACCCTGTACTCGGACACCGGGTCGAACAACATGAATGGCAACTACGATGCGAACCGAATGAACAATGCCCTCGTCACCCCACTTGTTTCCCGCCACGCACCCCGTCTCGCACCCCCCAGCACAGCTCAAATGCCCAGCCAGTACATGGCATTCTCCAGCCCAGCACCTTTCTGGAAGTTCGTCGACCTCCCCAGCACACCTGCCAAAGCACCCCTCGAGCTCAGCCCCATCAAACTACAACGTCCAGACTTCAAAGATGGCGATGACGACGACCACCCTAGTTCACCGCCCATGTTGCCGTACAACAGCGCAGAGCCCGAAGACAATGAAGATCAAGACCAAGATGCCGAGGAGAAAGGCGAAGAAGAGGAAGATGCCGGCCCAGAGAGTCCAAGTCGTACCGTCTCCAGACCCGCCAGTCGGCATATTGGAAGCCAGCGTTCCCGATCAAATAGCAATGTCAACGGGCTTGGATTGGGTATCGTGGGCAATGGAGGGATGGTACGCGGTGCCAGCCTGACGAGCTTCGAGGAGGAGCCTGAGCCCGAGGAGGAAAGCTACGATCTTTCAAAGTATGTTGCGAATGCGTCCTTGTCTTTCGTAACGGTGCACTGCTAACAATTCAACAGGGGCTTCCAAAAAATCGGCTCCTTCCACCGCAGCATGGCTCAAGCCCACGGTCTCGGCAGCATAGGCAGCCGCGCTACTGCTACACCACCTCCCCATCCTCCCCATCTCGCGCGCACCAGTGTCCCTGCAAACATGTAGACTGAGTTGCAGGACGATATAGACCAACAGACATTAGCGATATATCTTCTCCTCTCACGTTTCGGTACAGATCCTATACTACCATCTGACGACGGTGTGGGTGGTCCAAACTCTTCAGAATGAGCGAAAGTTGGATTATGACGGTTACGACACTTCCTTGTTGTGTGTTTGATTAGGTCGCATCTCGGTTTCTCGGTTTATCGGTCCGCAAAACTCTGCGTATGCATGGAGTTGAGTGTGTTGTTCGTCATACGGATTGTTGTCTTCATTCTATTGCTGCATCACTTTATCGATCGTATCACTCCGCTTATGGCGTTCTATGGGGCATTATGGCATTCTGGGGCAAAAACGGGTGCGTCATGATAATGATGGTGTGTTCAGTTTCTTTCCTGCTGCTATCTGCATCGGTTACGAGGGGGAGGGGTAGGATAAGATGGCTATGCGTATGGATTATGGAAGAGTGGGAAAGTTTGGATGGTGTATGCTTGTAGTGTTAGGCAATGAATGAAAGCATATATCTTTTGAAAGTGGTTCCTGCTCGGATGTTTGACGTGTTTACAAATGTGACCATCGCAAATGGGACTGGGATGGCATGCATGACCTGTAGTTACTCTAGCTTCGATGGCAAAGTTCATTTGGTACGGGTCAGATACCAGCTGTTCCATTGCACATTTATCACCTCACATATATATTGGGATGCCTCATCACTTTCAGTTCCCTTCCATTGTTCCCTTTCTGCTGGCCGTGCAGGTAACATAAGCTACCTAGGTACCAATATACACAAGTCCACCCCCCTCAGTCATCCCATTTCCCTTCCCCATCCATCGTCAGACCAATACGCAATGCAATCCAGCCCAGCCCAATCTAATTGATCTCCTTATGAGGGAACCACTTGCTCGGCTTAAGGTTCTTCTCCTCAAGCGGCGCATCCAACACACCCAATCGCCTTATCTCGCCCGCAGACGGTGCGTCGTCGCGTTTTATGTTGGCTTCGGCTTTGCGGTACGCGGCTTGGAGGGCGAGGGTACGGGCAGCCTGTTGTTGCATTGTCAGCGTTGGTGTTCTGGTCTAGGTTGGTGGGGGGGAGGAGGGACTGTGTGGGAGGTGTAATGAGAAGATGGGATTGATTGGGAGATGGTAGGGGGAGGGGGTGAGGTTTGGAGGTACGCACCTCCTTCTTGTGGTGAAGGCACTCGTAGTAGTCCTCAAGGACGGGGGCGCATTTTGCCTTGCCAGAGTCGTCCTCGGCGTTTGTGTTGGTCGTGTAGCATGCGAGGACTTCTTGCCAGAAGGGGAAGCAGCGGGATGGGCCTGGGGTGATGTGTTAGTTGATGTTTGAGAACTCTATGTAGAGGCGCTTCTTCTTGCTTCGTATGGATAAGAACGAGATCAAAAAGCTTTGGAGGGTTGCGGCGCGAGCGAACGGTCGGTCGAGTTGAGGGCATGTAGCGAGCGAAGGGCGGACACTGGTGGTGAAGATGTGATAGCCGTCTTGCGATATTAAAGCCATTCTTGGAGGTCCCGTCGATTTAATGGGTGTTGATCTTGTAGCTCTTGGTGCTCATGCGCGCTCGTATCATCCTCCAGATCTGGAGTCGTCTTCAAGCCAACGGCTGGCCTCTGCGCTAGCAGTGATGCTCGGTCCACCTTATTCCCAATCCCTCCATGTAATTCCATCCTTCGGTACGTTCGGTGTGGGTGCTCGCATCGTGTAGTCGTCATGATCGCTCTTCGCATCCGTTCCGGGTTCGCTCTTCGTAGTGCCATTGCGCTCGCCCCGCTGCCTCCGCCAACCCCCAAAGCTCCCAAGGTTGTCCCCCAGGAAGTGATTTGTACGTACCACCAGCAAGTCCGTATCCTGAAGCCATTGTCGCGGTGTTTAAGTGGGGGTCTTGAGTCGCGATGTGCTGCCGCTGTGAACTCGACCAGCTTGGGTTACGTCAGCAGCGCACGGACCGTCCGTCATTCATCCGATGGCGCTCGCGGGCCTGCGACAGGTCACACTCAAACACCTCTACATCGTCTTAGCAAGCCATGTCTGCGTCTTTCCTTTCTACAGTTCAGACTCAGCGCATACATTGCGCTGAGATAACAGTTCTCCCAGAACATGGGCTTGCAATACTCTTGATAATGAGGGATTTATCTTACAACCCACATGCTGTCAGCATGCATGCTTCACTACGTAAACCGGTGAAGGAAACCCCGCCACAGCCACATAACTTGGCTGCATGCATCATGTTCATTTCTTCAACTGGGCTCACCAGGCTGCGACTTTGCATCAACATTCTTCAAATCCAAGACCGATAGCTGCTCTTGCCGCATACCGTTGCTAGTGGCACAGTAACAAAGGACCCTTTCATAAGCCTCTCTATCATCGAGTAGCCAGTTCTGCTTGTAAACGTCTTCGCCAGTACAACATCCGCAGCTTGCGCAGAGATGTCTGACAGCGAGAATATTTGTGTTGGTTGTAAGCATCCGATAGTGGACGAAATGATTGAAGGCGACATGACACTGAAATGGGGTCATACTGAGGTCAACGTCAAGAAGCTGCCCGTGGGAGTAGACTCTGGGTGTCGGAACTGCGCTGTCGTTCTTGACGCTATCCTCACTTTCGTTGAGGGCAAAGATCGATCATTCATGCAAGACCACATAACGGTACACCCTGGTCCCATACGCCAAAAACTACGCCAAGAACTTCGCATCGACATCGGCGATAAGATTGAAGTCATACGTTACAGTGGTATGTCTGAACACTCCATAGGTACGCTCGAACTAATAACAAGTAAGACCTTCCACGCAATTTCGAGCCTTCCAAGTTTGGTGTCTGGAACGTCAAAGAATGCCGACCGCTTTCGAAAAACACTTCTTCGCAAGAGACTATTCGTATGGTTCAGGAGTGGAAGACTACTTGCATGCAACACCATAATCATTGTATGCAACGAAAAGCCGTCCCATTGCCCAAGAGGATCCTAAAGATCACAGCTGAACATGTATTCCTTCGCGAGCGGCCTGGCAGGCTAGCTCCGTATGCTTGTCTCAGTCACTGTTGGGGGTTGAATGGTCCAGCCATTAAGTTAACTGCTGAGACTGCCGGACATCTACGTGATGGTCTCAGGACATCGGATCTACCCAAGACATTTCGAGATGCGGTGGAGGTGTGTCGTAACATAGGAATCTACTACATCTGGATCGATGCGCTGTGTGAGATATCCTAGGACAAAATTTAGTTAAAGATACGCGGCTGACCAAGTGCAGGTATTCTCCAAGACAGCGAAGAAGATTGGAAAGAAGCTGCTGCTACGATGGGCGATATTTACGAAAATTCACACATCACCATTGCAGCCACAGCTAGCCAAGATAGCAACGGCGGTCTCTTTTCTTCGGATCGTCCAGTCGCGAGGGTAAAGTAGCCGCCACGGATAGCTCTTAAGATGTCTTGCTAACTTCTTAATAGTATGTAGCTCCCTTGCTATGCTTTGCCAACGCGGTTCGAAGACATCTTATTATTCGTGCTTACAGATTAACAGACGTTTAAAAAAGCATTCCCATCTGTTCGTCCGGAGACAACTAATGAAGTTTCCAACAAGAATGCTAGATAATACACCAACATCAATGCCATTGCTAACTCGCGCCTGGGTGTATCAAGAACGAAGACTCTCACACCGCACAATACACTTTGGCAACCATCAGGTATACTGGGAGTGCCAAACCGGGTTTTCGTCCGAGGATTCCAGAGAAGACATAGCATGGAGTACAAATGCTCCTGACTTCGAAGACTCGCTAGATCTTTACTGGGGTGATGAATGCATGGACCATAAAACCTACTGGCAAAAGACTGTGATGGAGTACACCAAGCTCAAAATGACCTACGAGAGTGATCGTCTTCCAGCTCTTGCAGCTGTCGTCGGTCAAATGTCGCGGCTACGAAGAGTAGACGACTTTTACGTTGCAGGATTGTGGAAGAATAGCATACTCTCGGATTTGCTGTGGTACACAGCGGGAAAGAAACCGCGCCCTGACCGGATGACTCCTTCTTGGTCTTGGGTATCAGCGCAAAACTCGACGATCTTTTGGCATGATTATGAATTTACTAGAGAGGTCAAGATTGTCGATCTGGAGTATACTGTCGTTGGTGCTGCTAACCTCGGAGATATCAACAATGCTAGCATCGTCTTAATGGTGCCTGTACTGGACTTGACAGGCCTTGACGGGCTTGATTCCGCCGAATATCATCACATCAGGCGGGGCACGCGTTTTCACGACATCTCAAAGTCAGCTCCAATCATGGAACAGTTCCGGCAGAACAATCTGGAAATCTCTCGCACTTGGTTCTCTCCCGACTACGATCTAACCACCGCCAATCCTCCATTTGAAAGTGGATGTACCATAAAACTTTTAGTCGCGAGAGGTTCCAGTGTCAGCATCGGCGGGATTGTCGTCCAGCAAATGTCCAACAATGCCCCACAGTACAAGAGGATAGGTTTTCTTAAAATCCACCTGAAGACGACGAAATCTGAAATGATTGGGACGAATGATAAAGACTTAGCAAGGAGTGATAATGATGGTAAGGAGAGAGTTGAAGAGAAGGAAGATAATGTAGGACGTCTGATACTGTCGTTGCCGATGGAAGAAGTAAAGATCATTTGAGGTTTCATCATCTGGTCGGCCATAAGCTCAGATTACCTGTTGTCAGTGTGGCTTTTTCAGAAATACACGGCTACCATATTTGTTCGAAATGAAAGAAAGTCTGCATATCTCTGACGTGGCGCATCGTTCGGCACCACAGCTCGAGAGTTTCGTGAGTGAAGCTACACAATGTTACAGGAAATGACACAAGCAAAAAAGAGATAAATACGTGCACCTTATACAAGAAAAAGACTAAACAGGTCTAGAGCCTATATTAATGTTAGGTTACTTATTTTATAAGTTTTTACGTTAATATAGGCTATAGGCCTATTTAGTTTTTTTCTTAATTAACGTGTGTGGAATGGCAACGAGCTCATTTGATGCTGTCTACCATATCCTCTCACTCCATGGATGTACCCATGCAGACAAAGATAAACAACTACTGCACATACTAGCCTCTACAGGCCCAGCTATAGAAACACAATTACCACGAAGCCGCAGGGATTTTCGTCACGCCTAGATAGCCACGTTAATCCCACGAACACGACGCAGATACCCCGCCTCCTCTGCAGTCCAATGCTTCTTACCCGGCTGCACCCATTTCGCCTGAACACGCGCAGCCAGCTCCGCCTCCGTCTTCCTCGCCGCCTCCCACTTCGCCTTATCTTTCTGCGCCTTCTCCTTCTCGTTCAGCTTCCGCTGCTGCGACCACTTCTGATCGGCATCGTTCTTCTGTTGTGCGTTCGCCTCCCGCTTGGCCTTGCGCTCGGCATAGTCAAGATGCTTCTGCATCTTCTCCTTTGCCTCAGTCACAGCAAGTCCGAAACGCTCGTTGTGCACAAGATAGGCCGCGTAGTCCTCTGGGTCGGGGATCTTGCCGTCAAGCTCGGCCTGAGCGAGCTTGGTTACGACCTTTCGGAAGAGGTTCTCGCCCATCGGTGTCTGGACAGTGGAAAAGGCGTCAATGTCTGAGTACTCTGGGAGACGCTCCGCGCGGATGAGGGCCCAGTATCGGTTGAAAATTCGTTGGGTGTACGCCATCATGCCGAGGTAGTCTGCGGCGCTGCATAGCTGGAGGTCCTGGTACGCGCCCGGGGCTTTGTAGGCGTGCAGTTCTTTCGCGAACTTCTTGAACGTGGTGATCTCGTTGAAGTGCGTGATCAGGTCCTGGACCATCTGGACTTCAAGTTCGGCAGGCAGCTTGATCACTGGATTGGGGCCAGCTACCATCTCCTTCTTGATGGAGACTGCACGAAAGAGTGCGATAGGCATCTCAGCCACTGGCTTGCCCTCGCTGTCGACGATTTGTACTTTTGGTCCTGTAGCTAGGACCTTGCGGTCGGCATGAGAGAGCTCGTAGATCTTGGCCACGTCGCCCATGTTGTTCTCGGTCGCTTGCATAGCTTTCTTGGAACCAGGCGCGGTCACGAAAGCAGAAGCAAGAAGGTTGGCCTTACCATTGGGAGATGGAGCGGCGGCTTTTGTATCCTTCTTGGTAGCTTGCTCCATCTGCTTGGTCAAGGGAGTCGGCGCCATCTCTGCTTTGTCGTTTGCGAAAAGATGGGAGCAATCGGTAGGATGTGGACAACTTGTTTCTGGTCTAGCAAAGTTTGGAATTTGCTAGTGGGGATACTGAGCTGGCTTCGACGCGTAGACTGTTGGGTGGGTTGAGAGTTGACTCCGGTGCTGTGATGGAGAACAGCTAGGAGGAAAAAGGGGGGTTTTTTATATGGAGAAGGGGAGACTGAAGCCATAGTGAATTCAGGAGAGGCCATGGCGTTAGGCTGGCGAGGAGCTGAGGTTGTAGGCTTACTCCGTTCAGTGTGAATGAGTGAATGTACCTGCGGGTGGTGATGCATTGCTCAGGTCGGACATGATAGACGCACAGCACCATCGCTTCCGCCTGTTGTTCTTTCACCAAGGAAACGAGACGGATATTCTCGCGGCGTAGGAAGTGAATGCTGTGGCGCTGACGATGCTATAGTGAATGAGTACCTAGGTAGGTTTCGCGTATATATGAGAAGCTGAGAGATGAGCTTCAGTCAAGGGCTGAGACGTGGTTATAAGGCGAAGGTTAGCTTGACATGCGATCACGCGATGTGATATTCTCTTTGATAGCAAGTATGTTTTCTGCTACTGATGGTCTTTGTGATCAAATGTTCCCGATGTTTGTCAGTGTTGGCATAGTGGCTCGTTTGTCGACTGTTCACGTGCCAAATCTTTCATCGATTATGTATTTTCC